CAACAACAACAACAACAACAACAACAACAACAACAACAACAACAACAACAACAACAACAACAACAACAACAACAAATAACTCAAGAGCAACAACAGCAACAACCATTATATCCCTCAACTTTAACTATATCAGAAAATAATGAACTTTCATTGCCCTCATCATCCTTAATCAATAATAACAACAACAACCTTGTTGCTAAAAAGTACTTTGAAGATCCAAATGAAGCTGATCATAGCGATTTGGAACAACCAACAGATGCAGAAAGTGATAAATTGAATATTGTTGATAACCAAACCGATGATGATAACTATGAAAAAAATTCAAGATTCAAAGAAATAACAAATACCAATAATATTGGTGGTACTAATTATAATAATGATGTTAACAATAATGATGTTAATGTTGGTAGAGGATCAACCTCACCGTCTGTTAGTGATTATTCATCGTCTGATGATAATAGGGACAGTGCTGATAAACTACAACAAACCAATGCCACACAATCTGTTGTACCAACAAATTCGGCCGCAACAACACCACAACTAGAACAACCACAATATCAATCACAACAACAACCATCGCCACAACAATATCAGCTGCAACCACAATACCAACCACAACCAGAACAACAACAACTACAATATCAACAACTGCCACCACATCTACAGCAACTGCAACACCTACAAGAAATTCCACTGCAAAAGCAGCAACTACAACAACTGCCACCGCATCTACAACAACAGCAGCAGCAACAACTTCCACCACCACAACAACAAACACAAACACAAGGTGATAATGTAGAGCGACGAACGCAACAACTAACACACGGATTAATGAATCAATTAACACCGGATCAAATGCAAATGCTAGTGCAGCAATTAGCACAACAAATAATTCAACAACAAACATCGCAACAACAACAAATATCGCAACAACAACAAACATCGCAGCAACAACAAACACCAAATCCAATTGAATATTCAAATATTGGTGGCATTAATCAATCTAAAAATGTCAATATGGTTTTGGAAGCACTGAGACAAATGAATCCATCATCACCTACATCATCACCTACACAACAACCATCTGCATTCATAAATGATAATTCAGCACCATCATCGGCAGCAACTACTGCCGCCAATATTGCTCCTGCCTCTAGCATTGCTACCAATACTGTATCGTCATTACCAATAAAGGATGATGGTCATTATGGTGATAATGTCAATCTTCTTCCAATACCAGGAAGCAATGGATCTGCAAAACATGTTACTTTTAGTGATGTTGAAAATGAAATTCCGTAATTAATTAAAATATTTTAATTATATTTAATTATTAATTATCATAACATTTATTATTATTTATTTGTCATGTACAAAAAATATTGTATACGAGGATATATAGATAAACATTATATAAAAACATAAAATATAAAATTCAATTTTGATTTTTTGAGAATAATGTTTTTTTTTATTATAGTTAATTAAATAAAGAGTCTTATGACGTTACAAATATTTTATACAAAATAAAGCAACTTTATTACTAGAAAATACATTGTATCCAATAATTCAATATTAATCTTGCTTGTTTTAATATTATTTGTTTGTATAATTCTTATTCCGCCAAAGTACAGTCATCTGACCTTTTGATAGCGAACTTGACTGTTTATATGCTAACACTAATGCGAAATGAAGTAATAGCCCGTTGTCAGTGGAATTGATTTTATTGCCATCATCAGTAATTCCTCCACCAATTAAATGTATAATAAGTATTAAATTTTCTAAAAGAATATCAATCAAAATATAATAAATTATTGATGAACAAATAATCAGCCCCTGTAGCGTAAGCTCCAACACTTTTATCATAAATATTAATATTAATATTAACAATTTCATCGTCATCGTCGGAATTTGAGAATTTTGCAATTCCATTAAATACCGTCGTCTTTGAATTATCATCTTTGTTACTCTGCAACATTCTATCATCATCTTTATTAGTTAATATTTAATGATTATTCCTGACAGCATTATTTTATTAACATATTCAGCCGTGACAAACACCATATCACGTACAATTAGTAGGTTAATAATTTGCTGCTCGACAGCAGCGGTAGTATTATTTTATTGTTAGTTCTGGAAGTAAACAGAAAATTCTTGAGGATCGAAAACTGAGAAATTGGTTGGTCGACGTTAAATTCTTCTGACGACGACAACAATCCATTAGAAGACATCGTTATACTTGGAATAGACGAACTTTAGAAAAATCTAACGTGATCTGTTTCTGGATCCGGTCTCAACTTTATTTTTCTCGACTATACTAAATGATCGCTTCCAAATTTTTACAGGACCAATTCCATTATCAACTAATAAATTTGTATAAAATTTATTAGTTTGAACTGGCGATTTGTTTCCATCATTATTGTCATCATTCGATGGCGGCGACGTGAACAATTATCATTGCAGAATCGTTTTTGCACAATAAAATCGTGCACTAATTAATCTACTCTTAATATAACTCAATCATAACGATAAATCAATTGACCAACAATTGAAAACATTTAGCGGTAATCAAAATTCTCTTTAATGGCATCCATAATCTGTTGACCGTTGTTAGTTTAACTGTTGCTTTAGTTGCTTCCAGTATACCTTAAGAAATGGCGCTATGATCGAGTCAGTTTATAATCCTACTCGTAAATACTTGTCTCTCAGTATATCAAGTTGAACTTGCTGTCATCATACTCTATTTTTGTCAACAGTCACTTGTGACGTCCTACATACTGACAAGGAACCGCAGGGTGAGACCTGATTACAAATTGCGACCCATATTTACATAATTGTACTTTCCTTCTCCCAGTTTTTTATTCCAGGCATTCGTTAAACCGTTAAATCAAGGGGAATAAATTACTATTACTTGCGAGAAAATTGAAATTTTATTAATTAATCAGATAGCAACGAAGATTGTGTAGTTTCTGATCAACTTTTCCAACGCGAATTTTAAATATTCAACATGAGATCATGATTGCAAAAAAAACATGGAATTCATCTTCATTTTCTAACAATTGACAAAACCTGATATAAACGGTTTCTGGCAACCTTGGAAGAACTTGTATGAATAAAATTTCAACTGTGAAGGAAAAGGTGGCGGTGTTTTTATTTTTGGTATGTTCTTTAAAAAAGAAAATTAAAAAAAAAATAGATATCTATGGAGCAGTAAGTGAAAACGTAGGTGATGTCGAGATACAGCATACAAGGAGATTCCATTTGTCAAATGTCACACAAAACTATTACATATATAACTGGGAAATTAAACCATTCCAACCATGTGTGACCCAATTATCTGGCAAAATTGCTACTATTATTCTTGAACAGCCTTTATTTATTCTTTGGACAAATACATCAATTAAAACAAAAATACAAGCAGATACAGTCTTAATTGAAAATCAATTTATTCCAAATCATTTTGTACCATGTTTTCTAAAAGATAGAAAGGTAGTTATATTTAACAATTATTATTTTCAAACTATTGAAATAACTGAAATAAACAAACAATAATTATATTTTTAATTTTACAGATTGAATCAAGCAAAAAAATACTTTCTTGATACAAGTGATGACAGTGGTTCAACAATTAAAAACAACAGTGATTATGATTTTTATTGGTTAAAAGAAGCATTAATGGAAGAACCTTTCAATTTAGGACCAGGTCCAACATGCCCAGTTATAGTTTTTGCATTAGAAAATTGATATAGAAATAAAAGTATTGAAAAAAAGCTAACAAAGAAAATCAAGATTTTCTATTAAAAGCAGAAAATGACATAAGAATCTGGCCAGAAGTCAAAGGATTAGAATGGATAATTAATAGATGGAAAAAGTATTATGAAAAAAACGAAGATGAAAAGGACATAATTGCAATAAAAAATGACCCTACAACTATAGAAAATAATAAACATTTGGTTGGATTTTTAATAGGCATAGATGAAAAAAAAGTAATGTCTAATGTAAAAACTTTTGGTAACATAATTGAATATGAAGAATGTAAAGACTTTTCATTTCAATTGCAATGTAAAGATGTCTTTGACAATTTAATAATGATGGAAGGTGAAAAATTAATTTGGAGGCCATCAAATATTACAAATGTTTGGCTAAGTTGGTACTTACAAGAACAGAAACAATTTCCACCTCAAATTGCAATTGCAATAAAAAAACCAGCAATGATTCTAAAAAATTTCTAAGTAAATACATTTATTGTAGTGGTTGTAAAGTTAAAAAAGAGAGAACATCATTTAATTTGTATATTTCAAAAAGCAATTTAATAAATCAGCAAAATGATATCACCATTATTGTCAAGTACTCAAGTAATCATAGAATATGTCATTGTATTTCTGGAACAACATATGGACAATGCCATGGTATTATTAGAGAAGAGTTGGCTAATGTTGAAGGTCAACCACAAGACATTAGGAAAAAAGTATTAAAGGATCTTGATGCTGAAATAAGATTCACTGGTAATAGACAAAATATTCCTTCAGCAAATGTTTCTAGAACCATCAAATCGAATGCAAATGCATCAGAGGAATGTAATTTACTTGAAAAAATGCATGTAGCAATTATGAAAGCAAATCAAGCAGAACATGGTGATTATATTAAAAAAAATGGGATGGATTCATTAAAGAAAAGAAAATTAATGGGATATATTCAAGAACCAATACAAACACAACCACTTTCAATAGCATTTTATAATGAAGCATCTCTTGAAATACTATCATCTTTATGCTTCAAGAAATCCTGGCATATTTATAGATTATACAGGACAACTCATTAAGCCTGTACCTCCATATTTATGTATGAAAAATCAAGATGATTCAAGCAAACATCCCAAAATAATAAATGCACTCATGACAATGGCATCAGGGACTGGATCTGATGCACCACCAATAGATATTTTGGAGTTAGCCACCAATGACCTAACAGCAAGTAATTTAACAAGATACATAAATAAATTGAGAGATGATGAATTTAAAATATATAATTCTAAGGCAGTACCTTATTTAGTTAATTGTGGAAAAAATATTTTAGTTGCTTGTTTAGCAGCATATAATAATGAAACAATAAAGCAGTACAATGAAAGAATACTAAAAAATTTAATTAATAATGAACAAATTAATCCTGAAAAAATAGTAATTGCTTGGTGTTATTCACATTGTATCAATGCAGTTAAAAATTATACAAGATCTAACAAATTTAAGTCCGAAGAATATAATATTTTAAAAAACCCCATTTCAAGATTTGCAGTGAAAATGTGGAATAAAATTAGAATCAATGCAACACTTGTTGGTGCAATCAATGAAATAGGAAACTGGAATTGGTTTCTAAACCAGGAATTTTTTCAGTTAAGAGAAACAAACATTCATTTAGAAAAAAATTTGTCATTTATAAGACATTTTTCATTTTAATGATGATTATATTTCTAATGAATTTGATATACAAAATTTGAGTGATGAAGGAAGTGATGAAGATGATTATGATGAAGTAATAACTCCATTGATTAATCAACGGAATTATAAGATCAATAATGATTTATTATTTTTAATTTTGGAAAAAAAACAAAAACTATACAATTAATTTTCCCACTTTAAACATAAATGTAAAAGTGATAAAATATGATACAGTTAACCAACTAGTATTAAACCCTTTATATAACCCTTCATTACAAAAATACTTTAAAAGTACATGGTGGAATACTATATTATTTTGGTCTGATATAATTCCTTCTGTAAAAAGCCATACAAGACATGCTACAGCTACAGTTGAAGTTGAGAATAACATTGTGAAAAATATGGACATAAAAAAAAGAAATTTACCAATAGATCAATATATCACTATTCGAGTTGAATCAATTAAAATCAATTCAAAGCCTAATTGCAGAGAAATTATTAAATACACAAAAAAAAGGTAATTGAGAAATTATTGCATATTATTTTATTTATTTACTCATTTATTTTACTGCTATTTTTAGTGATAGAAGAAGAAATGAGGTATCTACAAATGGTGATCCAAGTCAACAGTGAGAAAAAAGAAAAAAGAAACAACTCACAAAAGCAGAAAAGGTTCTTCTTGAAAGATTCAAATCTGTAATGGATTGTCATAGAAGAATTGTAGCAATAAGTCAAAAACAAATTGCTCAAGAAATTTGTATGGAATCTGAAGTCAAAATTGGCCTCGACCAATCAATGGTATCAAAATGTATATTGGTATAGATGCACCAAAATGTAATAATACAATTGATGCTATTAATTCATGGATTGAAAAAAAAGAAAATAACTTATAAAAGTTTATTTGTATTCTACTATATTTATTTATTTATTTTTTATGGTGTACTTTTATTACAATAAAATAATTATTTGGAGGTTAATAATGCCAAATAATTTTATGTTTGGATTTTTATACTGCAGTGTCTGAAGTTGAGAAATGTTATATAAATTAACTACATTTTATTTTTATTTTAGTGGATCGGATATTCTTATGGGAAAAATATTAGTGGATGGATATTTTTAGTGGAAACTACACATGGGTAATTTATATTTGCAAAAAGAAATGTAAATTTTATATTTATTAATTTACTTATAAAAAAAAGTTAAAATGTCATACACTAAGTTATTAACACGAGACAGAAAAGAATTAGTATTTAAAATTTATAATGAAATGGATAGTATCACTTGATCTGCTTTTCCAACTGTTCCTGACGATGAAAATAAAAAAGGTTATTTTTTACAATTAGTCAAAGAAAACAAAAAACTATTAGAAAATGAAAATGAAAATGAAAATGAAAATGAAAATTGTAGAGAAAGGTTTATTCATAATTTTGAATTAGGCAATGCAATTCTTAAACAGGGTGAACCAAGAGAATGCAATAATTGTAAAGCAGCAAGATTCTCTGATAAATTTTGTGAAAATTGTATTAGTCTATACTTACAGAGTCTTTTCAGTACTTGAACATCTGGAAATGAGATAATTGATAGTTTTATTCAAAAATGTCAACAGCTTTCATCTCTTCCAGGTAGAATTATAGAATGAATACCTTATTAGCAATTTCACAATATAAAAAAATTAACAGAAGGTGGATTCAATTCTATTTATACTGTTGGGTGGAGAAGAGGAGTTACTGATGACTATGATGAAAATAAAAAGGTGTTTAATTATTTTGGAGCTCAGCGAGTAATATTAAAATCATTAAATGATTCAAGTAATCCAGGAAAACCTTTTTTTGATGAGGTAATTGCTTTTATTTAAAAATAAACTAAACCATTTATTCTTAATTAATTAATTTTATTTATATATATAATAATTATTAGTTTCAGGCATTGAATTATTGTAAAATTAAAGCAACATGCACAATTGTCAAATGTCATGGTATAACTAAATTCCCAGAAAATGGAAATTATGCAACAGTTCTTAATTATCTAAAAGAGTGAAATTTAAGAGATTATATACAAAATAATCATTATAATTTAACATCAAAAGATAGAATCAATATTTTTAGGAGTTTATGTCTTGCATTATATTTTATAGATCAAAAAGATTTGATTCATTGTGATTTACATAGTGGTAATATATTATTGCAAGGAGGTATTTGTTATATCGCAGATTTAGGATTATGTGGACCAGTTGATAAAAAATCATCAAATAAAATTTATGGAATTGTATCTTATATTTCACCAGAACTATTTAGAGGAAAAAACACACAAAAGAATCAGATATTTATAGTGTTGGGATGTTAATGTGGGAAATATTTGCAGGTCATCCACCATTTGATGATGAAGCACATGATTTTCATTTGCAATTAAGAATATGTGAAGGTTTACGTCCACCAATATTACCAGGAATACCTGATGATTGTGCACAAATGATGCAAAGGTGTTGGGATGTGGATCCAACCAAGAGACCAATTATTAGAAAACTTTGGGAATTTTCTCTTAATAAACCTAAAACTGAGAGTCTTAATGAAAGTAGTAGTAATATTGGTGTTAGTGGTGATAATAATAGTAATATTAATAATAATAGTAATTTACAACAAATTCACAAATCACACCCATTAACATATCATACAAGTAGAATATTAAATGATGTAAATGATGAATTTGCTAAATTGAATTTAAAAAGCAATGATAGTTTATTAAGTAACCTTGATATTAATGAAATATAATTTTAATAAGGCAAATTAAATAGTTAATTGATTGAAATTTATTAATTTAAATATGATTATTTATAATAATAATGAGTAGTTGATAATGTTAAAATAAATATTTTAATATTTTATTATTATTCTGAAATAAATTTGATAGATTTCTTTCCAATCCGGAACCACACGTTTTTATAATTGAATGATTGATATCAGAAGTCAAAAAAGTCCGAAATGACATAATTCTGACCCTGTCAAAACAAGGGTGGTGATTTAATATCATCGGTTGATATTGTGTTAACGTAATGATTGTACAGGTACACCAACAGATTACCTGATGGCAAACTGGTTAGTGGTTGTTATTCTTAATAGGCTTGTTTTTTATTATTTTTAATAGTCCATTGTCATTCTAACAATTGATAATATAAATAATAATAGCGCTGTACTGGTTGAAAGTTTATGGGACGTGATAGATCAAACAAGATATTAAAAATGTATGAACCAGAAAGCAATTGTGATAGCTAGGAGCAATCATAAATTAAAATATTAAATGGTACAGCATCCATAACGTATGGAATTTAACAACTGCAAGTTAATTATACAAGTTTCCCAATTAAATTTCCATAATAAGATGGAGTGAATAATCTTAAAACATACATTATAATTTCCTCAAACAAAATTGGTGGGAACAGTATTTAAAAAATATATGTAATTATATTAATACAAAGAATTTATTATTTTATATATTTGTGAAATTATGATTAAAAAAGTATTTATAATAGAAAATATACATAAAAAATAAAGTTAATTAATTTATTTTCAAGATCTCTGGCAATTCGCCATTATTGATATATTTTAATATTTCCTCGGCACTAAATCCATGAGTCCATCTTTTACAATCACTACTATTGATTTTCTTTTCAACTTCTTTAACCAATTTATAAATTCCATGATTATATGGGACTTTGTCAATGCCACCTTCTATTATTTTCATTTTGCTCATTTTAATAATTTCACCTTGTAATTCATTAATTTCAGTCATTTTGCCCAGCGTGAAATCTTGTGACATATTGAATTCTTCTGTCCTTATTATGAAATTATTGTTGTTTTTAATTGGTTGGACTAGCCAGTCAGGAGCTACCAATAAATAAGGAACAGATTTCGGAGGTAATGAATAATTAAATGTGATTGGTGAAATCCCATAATGGTTGAATAGTTCAATTGTTTCCCATTGACAATATGCTTGAATCTTTCGAAATGATTTTGAATTCATATATTCTTCATGTGTCAAACCACTCAATGCTATGATAGAATTTGATAAACTTAACAAAAGTTTACCATATTGTACATTTTTTATCTGCGTTGTAGTCTTGACAGTTAGTTCGGATTGCTTGAAAATTTCCATGATTTGTTTTGTTTCTGGTTTTTCTTCAAGAATTATCAACCCGTCATTATAGGAGCCTTTTCTAGTGAAATGGCAATCTTGATTGTATTGAATATTGTAGTAGTTGACACCACTAATTATTTTAATGTTTGGGAGTAATTGTTGAATTGTGTCGGCATTATGAATTCCATTTTGAATTGTTACAATCTTTATTAAATAAATATAAATATGTATATATTAATCTTATGAAGGAATATTT